GGGAGCAGAGGGTGGGGGTTGAGGGCCTTGCTCAGGGGCCCAGAGTGGGGCGAATGAGTGTGGAGGCAGGTGTGGGTCACCTTTCCCAACCACATTTTGATGTTGTCAGTCTGGGGGGTCGAACCCGTGACTTTTCAATCACAGGCCCGCCTTTTCTAGCCTCTGCACCACCATCCCCCATCATCAAAACATGCAGGTCAATAGTGAAAAAAATGTATTTTATTTACCATATTATTTATTTGTTCATAGAAATAATGAGATATGTGCAAAATGAGAGAGAAGGCCCAGTCTTCTTTAGAGCTCTGTAGCTCAGGCATCCTTTAAACCTGTCATGAAAAGTTGAACTTCAAGACTCAACCACCTTTTGATGCCTTCAACATTTTACATCGCTCACAACACTTTAGGTTTCATGAAATTAGGAGGTTCTAGAACAATAGGACAGTCTAATGATGTCATACACTAACTTTAGGACCATCTAAACTTTTCAGATATTTTGCAAAGAAATTATTTTTCTTCCACAACCTTCTCACAACTTGTACACAATATGTAGGCTATAGTTGTCATGTTTTACCCCATGTGTCTCCCTGCTATAAGACTCATTGTTTTTGCTCTAATCCTCCCACAGAGGAGCGTGCACACAGCTAAACTCCCGTTGTGTCTGAGCTCAGAATGTGAAGCCTCTTACATTAAACAAGCGAGGACGCACACTTCTGCCTCCTATGGTACAGAAAATGTTTGTAGTTTCTCTACAACGACTGTTTAAGGCTTACCTTCCAGTTCATATGTTTGTCTCTTATGCAGTCAGAGTGAGAGACTCAGGTGTGTGGTTACCATGGTGACCGTAATGAATCCCATGCAGCAGCTTTAATATCTCTTTTGATCACTTGTTCTACGGTTCAGGTCAGTGTTTTGTCAGCTTAGATTATTCCTCAATTAAGTCCCAAGTTATTATCGAAATTTAGAAAATACAGTTGATGTTTGTTATGAATCCAGTCAGTAGCTGGAACCCTTTATTTAAAAAAAAAGACAACTAATTTTTATGCACATTTTTACATAATATGTCCACAGAAAACTGTACAAACAATTATAGCTTCAAAAACCCAAGGAGGAAGATTTGTTTTTGCCCTACAAATTTATCTGCTGTTTATTTATTTATTTTTCTCTGAAACCCCTCTTGGATGAATTGTGCCAACATTTATTAGCACTTCGTGTTCAGTTTGCATATGGATTATGGAGGTCACTGGCACAAATTTGCAGCTACATTACAGTCTGAACCAGAGGGTGAGGCTTGGAGGAAAATCCTCCCCCCTTCTTGTCCCTCCCCTGTTTAGGAAGGCAGACACTTGTGATTGGATGGCGGCTGCGCGCTTTGAAAGCCCTCCTCACGTCTCCAGTGTGAGGAAGAGGAGAGTGAAGCTGCTGCAGTGGGAGACAGAGCAGCGCGCAGGACGCTGGCACACACTGCGGGGTTGACTCTTATTTTGATGATCAGCGATTACTTCTGGCGTTTTCTGCGTTTTTCCCATCACTGGATAAAGGAATATTTATGACTCATTAGCACGCTCTTTTGAAGGATGACATTTTGGCCATTTGTTCTTCAGTGAGACGCGTTATTCCGACAAGGAGGACGTGCTTTACGCACAGCCATTCTGGATTATCCCACTCTTCTTGATTGAATTTGTCATTATGAAGTGTGCAGAGAAATAAAACTAAGTGGCGACCACTCCTCGGCTCTTCTCGTCCAGATCCAGATGAGAGATCTCCCCGGTGGAGCTGAATCGCTTTTACGCAGTCAGTCCCCGGAGCGCAGCGGCGACTCTCAACCAAGAGGAGCAAACAGAGTGTCCGATCCCACGCCCACGTCTTCTCCGTGTCCCTCAGACCCGACGCGTCAAGCTAAGAGGCTCCCGGTCCGGATCTTAAAGATGTTGACTGCGCACAGCGCCCACTTGCTACACCCGGAGTATCTCCAGCCGCTCACATCTGCGCCTGTCAGCATCGAAGTGAGTATGAGAATAATCTGGACAGAAAAAAATAAATAAACATCTCTCAAAGCTGGCGCCTTTAAAAGTGACTTCGATTTTCTGTCAAATAATTAGATATAAGGGTGAATATACATGTTTGTTTTTTTTCCTGTCAGATACTAGGAGCAGTTTGTTGGCGGAGTTTATTAGAAGCTGCTTTTTATAAAAGCTGCTTTTAATGTAAACGGTAACTTTATTTATATAAAAAATAGTTTAGGTGTGTGAGACCGATCTGACAGTTGGGGCTTTTTTTCAGAATTGAAGGTTAATTTGAATATTTTTCTTTAAGTATATATTAATAACCATACAACTGGATTAAGATTCAAAGCAAGCAACGTTCACAGTCTTGTCCCTTCTGTTTTCACAGCTGGATGCCAAGAAAAGTCCCTTGGCTCTGCTGGCCCAGACTTGCTCTCAAATCGGCAAACCTGACCCCCCCTCCTCCTCCAAGCTGGCCTCCCTCTCCTCCAGCAGTCTAGGAGATAAGGAGCCCTCCAGCCGCTCGTCCAAGTCTGGAGAGCAACACCAGTCGCTGGATGATAAATCCAGCTTCAAGCCTTACTCCAAGTCATCTGGCGACTGCCGTAAGGACGTCCTTGTGACAAAGGGCTCGTTAGAAAAAGCAGCTTTCCGGGTGCCAAATGGAAGTTCCAGTGGAGGAAGTGCTTCTTGCCCATCTTTGTCCTCTAGTTCTCGATCACCGAGCTCCAACTCTCCTCCCCTGCACACACCAAGCCAGACCCACAGACAAAGCCATTCCCCATCCACACAAGCCCCGGCACACTCCCAGGCCCCACACATGGACAACAAGTCTGGGAGTTCAGAACAGGCCAGCTCAGACAGCAGCAGCAACAGTGCCAGCAAAAAAGACTCAGATGTAGTGAGGTCAGGGGGGGACGGGGCTCAGTTAGCCAACTCTAGCCAGGTACGGGCCAGCGCTAACTCCAGCAATGCCAGCTCAGCCTGCAGCCCACGGCCAGACAGCAAGCCTGACCCTCAGGCTTCCTCACAGTCTGGTCTGAGCTCTGGACACATTGCACCAGTCTCACCATTTAAACCAGGACATTCTGTCTTCCCCCTGCCCCCTGCTACCATGGGGTACCATGGCTCCATTGTGGGGGCCTATGCTGGCTATCCTTCCCAGTTTGTTCCCGGTTTGGATCCTACCAAATCTAGTTTGGGTTTAGGACTTCCAGGAAAGCACCCCAGTTCCAGCCCACTAACTGGAGCCTCACCTCCATCTCTGATGCAGAGTTTATGCCGGGACCCGTACTGTCTGAGTTACCCCAGTGCGTCCCACCTAGGAGGCAGTAACTGCTCCACGTGTGTTCATGACCCGGCTAGCCTTAAGACTGGTTTCCCTCTGGTTTACCCCTCACACCACCTCCACTCTTTGCACTCTGGCTCTCTGTCATCTAGCACGACTCCCTCCCTTTCCCACCCCCTTTACACGTATGGCTTCATGGTCCCGAACGAGCCGCTGCCCCACGCCTGTAACTGGGTTTCTGTCAGTGGTCCCTGCGACAAGCGATTTGGTACATCAGAGGAACTGCTAGCCCATTTGCGTACGCACACATCCCTGCATGGAATGGTGGACAGTAAGCTGTTGTCAGCCTATCCTTCTTCAGTGTCATCCACAGCCTCGTGCCATCTCCATTTGCCCCCACCCAACAGTCCAGGTGCACTGCCCAGCTCATTTTCTCTCAGAGGCTCTCCTGGGTTGGGCCTGGCCCGCTACCACCCTTACAGCAAAACCCATCTGCCCGGAGCGCCAGGACTTCCAATGCCGGCACTTCCCTCCTCATCAGCCTATTACTCTCCCTATGCCCTCTACAGTCAGAGACTGGGATCAGCGTCGGCCCTGGGATATCAGTGACAAAATGCCACAGAGACACCAGCAAACTGCAGGCATCAGATAAGAACAGTCCTGAAGATGGATTCAGGAGACTGAAGTCATCACAAAGCAGGGCACCGTGCCCCTGGCCTCCAGTGATGCCACCTGTTCGCCTCAGGATGTGACTGCTACTCCACAAGCAGAGATCCTGCACCAGAAAGACTGTAGTGATTAAAAATAGCAGGAAGTCTAAAAGTGAAAACATGTAAGATGGTCAAAACAGTCTGGATTTTTTTATGTTGATGTTTTATTTTGAAAAATTCTCTCCCTGAAAACAAAGGACTATTTATTTTTCACTTGAGCGCTGGGTTTTTAACCCTATAGGGATTTTTTTTAGCTAATCAAGTAAACTATCTAAAGTATTGTAAGTAAGAAAATTTGATTTAAATATTCCACCATTATGCCTACCATATCATCCAAAAATTAAAAAAGGCTGAACCATGATGTAGATGGATCGTAAGGCTTTATTCTGGGAAGCTCGTTTTTTAATCTCTTTTCTTCTCTGCTGTTTTTTGTTCTTCTTTGACTCAGACTCTGGAGAAATGCATGCCCTTGAGAATTATCTTGAACAATGCTATTATTTCTATTTGTAAAAATGCAAAGATGTAATATTTTTTCAAGCTTACAAGGTATCAGCAAGTTTGGGTGACCTACACAAATGGTGCAAAGATTAACGAAAGAAAAACGATGAATAAAAACAATGATGGCTGTGCTATCCGACTAACAGGAAAAGGTCTTATTTTGTTAAATAAATGATACATGATTGCATTTTGACTTGTTTTTCCCTTCTTGAATACTATTTATAGCTCCATGAAGGAGTTTTTTGTTACCAGCCTTAGAGGACGCAGTAAATCATTCCAGACTGCAGCACTGCACTTATCTAAGACTATCTATCATTATGGCTCTTACAGCTGCGCTATATGTGGCTATGTGTAATATTTCATGGCTCATATCTCTTGACAAGGCTCTCCCAAAGAAGCCAACCTGGGTCACATTAGTCCTGTTAGCTAGTCTCCGAAGACTTTCATTCCTCCTCCTTCCATCACCCAGATTGCCTTTGTTGTTGCAAGTGCAGCTTTTAATTGCTGATTTTTGTTTGTGAGGGAGGGGAAGGGCCTCCTCAGCAAAGTGGATAGCTGTGCGGAGAGACCGCCGGGTCACTGGGACTCAATAATGACCTGAGGGAGGTGTCGACCCAAGATCTCTTCTCGCTCTGACGGATTGGCCTGTAACACAAAGGCCATGGCTGACAATGGGAGGCAGTTAATAGAGAAATATTCATCAAAGTGCTGACACGTCCCCCGAGGAGAGCCAACTCTCTTACACGGATCTCTTAGCTCATGCGAGGAGCCATTTTCTTCCACTTTATGTTGCATCCTCAGACAGAGCTAAGACACTGAAGGAGCTGGTCTGTCTTGCAGCAGCACCTCTACCTTTCGAGTGTTTTGGACCCAGATACCATCTCGTCTGGCTGACAGGGTGTATCTGGCGCAGAGTGCTAGGGCTCAAGTCTCCAAGGCGGCTATTGACCTGGACTCCCAGACTCCTCTGCTCTTGTGGTTCATTAGCACTCCAGACAGGGAAGAGGCGAGCACAGGTGTCACTTGACAGGACCATTAACTAAATGGATGACCCTCCCAAACCACATTCAGCCCCTGCCACACCAGCAAGGTCACAGCGCCCTGAGCACAGCTCTGGGTGGCTCTCTTGGACACTACACCCATTTTTCTTGTTAAAAGAAAAAAACGAAAGCCAGGCATGTTTTTTCCAGAACAGCACTTTCTTATTACCTCTTCTGTGACAAAGTTTTAAAAGTATTTTAAACAAAACAAGTTCCAGGGTATTCAACCTCATATATTTTTTCCAGTACATTTGTAATCTGCAGAAGTAGGGCATCAGAAATTTTAAATATTTTGCCGCCCCCTAAAGTTGAAGGATTGAACAGCAGGTGAAATAAGGGGCAAGTCTGAGGCGTTATCTTGCCCTAGGATGTAAAATGTGAGTGTTCACAAACTGTAGATAGAGAACTGGTTACATTGGCAGAGATGTGAAGATGAATCAAGCTGGAGGTCACACAGAGGGGAGAACTCTCAATCTTTCCTCGTAGGTGGAATCAATTCCACTGTTGCCAGTTTACACTCGTTCATCAAACCTGTCTGTTCTCTCTTTCCTGGCACTCATCAATCTCCTCCATCTATCCCCCCCAACACTCGCAGCTGAGTCAACACACACACACTCCATCTATGTTGCCTCTGTTTGTGCTTGCGTGTGTGTGTGTGTGTGTGTGCAGTCAGTCTGTATGCATGTGTGTGTGTGCATGTGTGTGTGTGCATGTGTGTGTGTGCAGTCAGTCTGTATCCTTCGTGCAGAGGATGGCACAGAGACAGGAGTTAGTGGTTCTGTGGTAACTCCAACAAAAGATTGTGACTTTATGAAGGAGCTTTGATTTAATTTAATGCATTCATTGAATATTTCATACTCTTCTAGTTTTATGTACAAAGCATAAAATTGCACTTATTTACACCCATATGAACAATGGTGACTGGTAAAGCAATCTAAAGAAATGTATTCCTTTACAGTGGGTATTGAGATTTAGTTGTTCGATTCAATTTCAATTCAGTTTATTTATATAGCACCAAATCACAACAAAGTTGTCTCAGGGCACTTTACAGGAACATTCACATAAAAGCCAATTAGTAAAGTTCTCTATCTATTGTTAAAAAGTGAAAAAATAAAACCAGCATCCATTGTCAAATTTATAAAAAAACAATAATGATAATAAACTTGCCTGTAAATGTAAAAGGGGTTGTAGACCTAACTGTACATTGATTTAACACGTATATATTTTTCTAAACAAACAAATGAACAAGTTGAAGCAGATTTTTTTCTTTTTTTAACAATGATGGTTTACCTTTTTTAATCAATGCATAAGAACTGAAGCCTCCTCATTACTACTACTACTACTACTACTACTACTAATAATAATAATAAATTTTATTTATATAGCACTTTCCAACAACGCCTTGCATTGACCAAAGTGCTTTACAAGATAAAACAATAAAAACAGGGCACAATAAATCAGTGCAAATTACTTTTAGTCAAAACTCTTTTGTTTCCAAGAATAAAGAAGTTTGGGTCTCTCTTTCTGTAGTTTTGGGAAAACGTGCAAAAATCAAGAACAATCCATGCAGCTTGATTGAGAATGGTGGATTATGACTTTTAGTCAAATAATAGCAAAGAAATTGGACAACAAAGAGATTTTTGACAAAATTATCAAAACTAAACAAACACAATATGTTTCAAAGATTGTGAAAATAATAAAAATGATTAAAAGTTCAAACAGCTCACAAAATAGTTTAGTTTTACATGACTGAAGTTGAATTTTAATGGCTTTTACGGTTTATACACAATCCCAATTTAGGTTTTATGATTTTTGAAAACGGGCAGCACGGTGGCGCAACTGGTAGAGCTGCTGCCTCTCAGCGAGCAGATCCCTGGTTCAAACCCCGGTCCAGGGGCCCTTCAGGGTGGAGTTTGCATGTTCTCTCCGTGCATGCGTGGGTTTTCTCCGGGTGCTCCGGTTTCCTCCCACAGACCAAAAACATGCATGTTAGACTGATTGGTAACTCTAAATTGTCTCTAGGTGTGAGTGAGAGAGTGAATGGTTGTTTGTCTTGTTTGTCTCTATGTGGCCCTGTGATGGACTTGCGACCCGTCCAGGGTGTACCCCGCCCCTCGCACAGTGATTGCTGGACATGGGCACCAGTGACCCCCGTGACCCAAAATGGAATAAACGGGTAAAGATAATGGATGGATGGATTTTTGAAAACTTTTTCAGGATGTTTATCTCGTGTGATGTCACACTAATATTTGAGATGACTAAACTTTTAGTTTTTTTTTACTTTTTTGCTGCAAAACACTTTTTTTCCACAAACTACACTTGCTATAGTCTCTATTTTATTATTTATTAATTTTAATGTGGGTCATTTTGTCATTTATGTTTTTCCACTCCTGCTCTATGAAATGTGTTCATAGATTACTCACTGACTTCCACTGTCTGAGCTCAGAATGTTCTCTTCAAACCAGAAGTGAAAGCACCTTCACAACTTGTCACATCTGAAATAAAACACTGTGAAGACACAAATATTGACTTGACCACGGCAGCTTCTGCCACCTGTTGTCCAGATTTATTAACACAATTTAAAGTTTCTGTCACGTGATTGTTGTCCCTGATGTGGAGCAAAGATGGGCAAATGGAAATACCCTTCATCCATCCATGATGATTAACTTGAAAAAAATATGAAGGAAAATGGACTGCACTTATATAGTACTTTTCTATCTTATCCAGACACTCAAAGCGCTTTACAGCACAATCTGTGCCTCATTTACTCATTCATACAGAACTCTACTAGATCTATACAAAGCTATTGAACAAATCATTCTAAAGAGACTAATCAGTGCTTTTGATCACATTCATACACTGATGGGACACACATCAGAGGCGATGAGGGGTTCAGTGTCTTGCCCATGGACACTTTGACATGTGACTGCTGGTGGATTCGCACCCCCAACTCTTGCATTGGAGGACGACTGCTCTAACCACTCAGCCACAGCCGTCCCATGACTTCCATTTTGGTGTGTGGCTGAATCTAGGCATAAGAAATGCTACTTTTGAAATTTGGGTAGCCACGTAAATATTCAAGACGGCCACAGCCATATACACATACCTGCACATACATCCATACATA